ATACGTAATAAAATAGTAAATCGGAAAAGATTGCAATATTTCATAAAACTGATGTAAGTAAATGGAAGGAATTGATCAGCTTATTCGACAAAACTAAAGAAACTTTCGGAAAAATTGATGTAGGTTTAGATAAAGTAAAGATTTTTTATTTCCAAAATAAATAAATAAATAAATATATATATAATATAAATATTTCGCTATTTTTCTTTTTAAAAGATTGTGATTAATAACGCTGGTATTGTTGGACAACTATATGGAATGCTGGATGATTCATTAGAAGGTTTGAATAGAACAATATATAAAGAAATATATATATGATCCGTAAATAGCATCATAATATAATAATATGTGAATTTATTTATACAGAACCTGATTTTGCAAGAATTTTAAATGTTGACCTTTTGGGTGTAACTTATGGTAAAGCTATTCATTAGACGAGACGATTACTGATATCTTAATTCTGCCCTTTTTTTTTTTAATTTAAATTTAATTTTTTTATAGGAACTAAACTTGCATTTCAATATATGAAACAAAACGACCCACAAGGAGGTGTTGTAATTAACACTTCTTCTGTTGCAGCATTTCATCCAACATTTAATGTTGCGGTTTATGCAGCCGCAAAAGCTGGTGTAAGTGTATATACATTTATACTCTATTTCTCCTATATTTTTTTACTTAATTATTTATTCTCCCTTTTTAGGTTGTTAATCTAACTAGATCAATGGCACAAATTAGTCAATTATTCGGTATTACTGTTAATGCTGTATGTCCAAGTGTTACTGGTATGTATAGATATGTTTAGGTAAATATTAAAGCCCAATTTCCTTATTTTTAATCGTTAAATTTTTAGAATCGGGATTGACATCTCATTCAATTGGTATACTTCCTGAGAATTGGTGGTCATCCGTTAATTTTGTTGTTGACGCATGTTTTAAATGTATTTATGATCCAAAAACAAATGGTAATATATACCGTATTTATATTATTCTTTTGTGTGTTTGTTTCTTTTGTTTAAAGAAAAATATTTTCTTTATAATGATATTTTTAAATTTTCTTTTAGGAACTATTTTTACGGTTTGGTATGAAGGAATAAAAGAAGAGAGTTTTGAGAATTATCATCCTGTATTTCAAGCAATGTTACAAGGACAACGTCAAAGTTATCTAAAATCTTTAGAAAACAAATAAATTAAATACGTGTTAATTAATAATTTTTTTAAAAAATTCATATTTGTAGTTTTAAACTAAAAATTAATAATTCAATCAATTTTAACAAATTCTATTAAAGATTTTATAACATTAATAAAAAATAAATAAAAAATTAATTTATTAATTATATTTTTTTTATTTTTACACCAATTCCAATTTATTTGATACGATTTTAGCATTATATAATGTATCATTATAATGATTTGCATCTTAAATTCTTTCCGTTATCAATTCTATCATTCATTTTTAATTTTTATTATAAATCTATAATAATGCTTTAATTGTAAACAATAAAGTAAACGAGCAGTCTTATATTATTAATTATTCATTGTAAGAAATTAGTCAGTGAATTTTTAAAAAAAAGTATTAATTTTCTTAATAAAAATATAAATTTTAATTTTAATAATATAATTATTATAAAAAATAGTTGTATTAATTTTCTTTTCTAATAAAAATCACCTGGATAATTTTACTCATAAAATTATTTAATAAATCAAATGATTTCTTTCAGGTAAAAATTATTTAAATAGTTTTAGTTATAAATAATTCAATAAAAAAATTAAAATTTAGCACATAATATTGAATTTTATTTTATATTATATTATTAAGATTTATGATAAAAAAAATATATTAAATATTTTAAATATTAGAATAACATAAAGTATAATACAATCAACTTTTTATAAATACACCCTTCTTAGAACTAAACATTAGCGAGCATTTATAAAGGGTATGCATTTATAGAAAATATGTTTTTAAAAAATTTTATATTATATTTATTAAAAAATAAATAAATAAAAAATAAATAAATTCAAAAACATTGTTTTTTATTATATGTATTTTAATAATTA